AGAGAGAGAGAGAGAGAGAGAGAGAGAGAGAGAGAGAGAGAGAGAGAGAAGGAGGGAGCAAGAGTTGTTTTTTTTCGCTTTTTGTTGGAAGGAACGAGGATAACGAAAAATTGATACGAGGTGTCGGCTTTTCAGCGTCATGCTTATGAAAATGATACGTGCTCCGGTTTCATGAAAATTCTGGTCGGATATTTGTGTATGTTTTCATGCGCGAAAACGAGCCTTCGCCCCTCTGTTTCTGTCTCTATCGCTGCATCAGACTCTTCATTTTGGTGTGTAGCAAATTTAGTTATAGGATCGCTATCTACTGAATAGGAATGGATACGGGCATACAGTCGCATTTTCCATTAAAATAACGTGATGCAAAATATTCCACCATACATGCATATACGGAATGGGAACGAGTAAGCGAGTGAAAGAGCGAGAGAGAGAGTGAGAGAGAACGAGAGAGAGAGAGAGAGAGTCTCATTTATGCGTTCATCGGTGAAAAATGATTTCCTTGGGGCATACAAGATCATATGTAAATATCTGAAAAGAATGTCGTAAATACATGTATGTGCTACTTTGCAGAAAGTCATACATCAGTTAAAATGGTCTTCATGAGCAAAGAATGTTATTGCACAGGCATACAACTCACATTCACACCGGAGGAAAAACACATACCGAACTGAAGAAAAAAACACATAGAGACACAGAGTGAAGGTGAGAGCAAGAGACACGCACACACACACGAAATATTTTTTGTTCCAAGACAAATTTCAACTGCGACGCAGAAGAAATGAAAATCAACAATGCAAAAAAACACAAACGAAATCCATGAAAATGAAAGAAGAAAACACCAAGCACGGGTTGTTTGACTGACAACATGCTAGATTATGATGGATTCGGTGTAGACAAGTGTTCAATGCAAGTTAACGAAATAGAGACGATCTATTCTTAATGAAATCTGATTAGCCTAAGCGAATTTTGCCTGGATGAACGGAGTAAAGCCACTTCGATTCACCAAAGTGTCACGCGTCATGCGACAATATAACAAATTTATTCGTTGTCTTGTTTTATATACATATTTTCGTTCGGTATTCCTTTCGGTGGGAACAGTGAGTTACAGATGATTTCATCAAGCCCATCACACACTCTGACGCTCGATGCTGTTGTGTTGTCGCCACGTTTTGCCAGATTGTTTCCATCAAAATCACGAATAAATTTTGGTTATTTTTGGCTGACACAAAAACATCCATCGTTCTCTATTCATAGCAATGCTTTCCATTGCAGCATCGCAAGAATGTTATGCCGCATACAAATAACATAGCTCTATGTTCCTGGAATTTGTTTTATTTTTCGCGAAAAGCGCTCGTGAAGGCGCTCGCAACACACACCCCTTATTTCAAATTCTACATCAAATGTTATATTATTCAGAATTTGTTTTGCTGCGTTTTGTCTTTCCGCATTTCGCCCCATGACAAAGTCACTCAGAGTTTTATTACGATTTTTTATACTGTTTCACCCAAAAAAATGATGCAAAGAAATTATTATTTACAACGCTTACTTCTCTAATTCTTCTTCATATTCTTCTCTTTTTTTTGCAAATGTGAGCAAATATATGCGAGGTAATCAAATGTATTCGGTACGCGTTGGTTGAGAAAGAAAAAGAGAAAGAGATAGAAAAAGATAGAGAGAAAGAGAACACGACGCAGTACGAATGAACCAGCGAACGATGACATCACACACACACACAAACAGAGAGAAAGAGAGATAAAGAGAGATAAAAATTGCGAGTGGTGTGCATATTTATAACAAACAAACCAAAAATCCGGGCAAAATTACACCAATTGCCCCGTGTTATTTTATTGAATTTAATTCCAAATCAGCTGCTACCAGCTCCATTAAGCAATAAGCAGTCAGAGATGCGTAGCGAATGTTTAAAATTAACCATGGCATAGGCAAAAATGCGCTAACCGAAAATAAGTTAGAAAGAGATTAGCAGAGAGTGTCGACCGGGTGAGAGACGGGAGAGAGAGTGAATGAGCCGAGATTGGCCTAGAACGTGGATTGGCTATTTTTGGTGTATAATGTAATATGCATAAAGTGATTTCCATATTAAATGGCATTCAGTGCCGATAGCATTATTGTCACCAGTTCAGCAAACACCATACTAATTACCATTAATGTTGATTACAGGTAGATTCTGTCGTGGCACATTCGATGGATGGCTGTGTTGGCCCGATACACCCGCAGGAACATCAGCGCAAGCATCTTGTCCAGAATTCAAAGTCGGATTCGATCCATCACGTAAGTATACACACACACACAAAATGTGCTCTAATATCTTTGTCGTGTCGAAAATCACGACAATTCGCCTTTTAATTCTTTCTGGTAACTCAATGTGGCTAAATGTCAACGCTTAATCTGAACGATGAATAGATGCGGTCTATTTCAGGCGGAAAATCCCCGAGATGCATCACTGTTACCGCAAATATCACCGCCTGATAATATGCTTTATGTGACACAGTTTGTTCTCTGTCGGCCTGACTAAAATAAATACCATGTATTGTTTTCAAAACATTGTACCCATTCAATGTGTCATGTTTATCGATAGAAAACCGCACCAATGTTTCATTTTTATGTTAAATATTTGATAAAAATTTTCCATTTAGAACGAAAGATATGATAATGGCTGGAATTATTCAACATCCTGAATATTTTTGTGTGCTTAACATTCATGTCATAGACAAAAGAAAAGCCATGAGCAAAAATACAAGACAAGCAAAAAATATGGAATGACCCAGAAGCAGCAAGAATCACCCGAAAAGCTAGAGAGATGGAAAAATCCGCAATCATTTAGTGTGTATGTTACGCTTTCAATGGCGAAATTCGGAAACGGTTGCACTTCGATTCGGTCAAAATTTCGATCGAATGAATAAATAACTGGGAAAATTGCCTGAATTTCGATTTTTCTCGTTCAATTTATACATGCCAATTATTGGATTAAATCGAAGCGGCGACACTTTTCTCCAATTCAATCCGTGTTACTAATTAAATCGAGTCTATTATTATACGCCGGACTGAATGCATGGAATTTTACTATTTCGAAATCCTTTTTTTTCGTGCGCTCACGCCACATAAAAGCACATACACGGATCGTTATATACGGTCGATCTGTTTGGAATAAGTAATGTGATTTACCAAAAATCGTCGACAAACGTCAAACGAGCAGCAATGTGTGGACAAAAATGCCATTCACCATGGAATTCAACCACTGAAAATCATTCGTTTCGCAAAATTCGTTGGTGTGCACGAAATTTTTACACACCAATTTCGAATTGGCCATTGTATCTCTGCGCATCATTTGGCCATTTGGGAATTTTGTGCGAAAGGACACTTGATGATTTTTCTTTTTTTCCATTCCGAAGCCATTTTTGTTCGCTCGTTTTTGCTATGGTTTGATGCAACGTTGCCAATTCTATAGTTCCATTATTTACACTAAAATTGTTTGCTTGTTGCTTTGGCTTTGGCTTTGGCTTTTCATCGATGATGAAAGGAATATGTTGTGCTGTCGAAATAAATCAGGCGCTAAGACAACCGACATTAATGGCATGTATAAACTTCATTTCGAAGAATGGAACGTGAAAGAATGTGCTCATCGATCGGCAGAATGAAGAATAAGAAGGAGCAGAAGCAGAATCTGTACATGATGTGCAAGATTCGTTTTTTCCCGTTGATTTTGCGTCATTTTTTTCTATCCCTCACTCTCTCTCTCTCTCTCTCTCTTCGCATAGCGAATTGGTTGTTTTTGCTCGATGGAAATGCGATGTGGGGAGAAGGATGTAGAGGGATTGATGTGATGGTTGGGGTTATGAGGAACATTATACTTATAACTGTTTCATTTATGAGTTGATGGCAGATATGCTTGTTAAATATGTTCCAAACTGTTTGCATATTCGCAACGCTGGAGCCGTACATTGAATATTATATCAAGTGGATGATGTTGATGGCATTGGCGACATATTTACGACCATAACATTATCAATAATTGAATCAATATACTGGTATTTAGTGCGGGAAAAATCATATGACACAGACTATTCGTACCATGATAAAATGTCACCGAATGCATGTCGAAAATACACATCGAGAGCTGAGAGAAAGCCTGGCATTCACTCTTTACATAAACGCAACGTTCGAAGACATGCTGAAGATAGGGAATCACAATATGATTTAACACCAGCCATTTTTTTTGTGGGTGTGTTGAAAAAATGACTTCAAATGATCGAAAATATACAGATTTTCTTTTTTGCTTTCATTTCGAGCATTTTTTTTTCCTTTGGCCAAGCAAATAATACACCATTGAACGGCGTCGTGTTGAAGAGTAAACTGTCATAGTGTTGAGAGAAGGAAAAATCCCATACCCCATAGTATGGCTTCATAACAAAAATTCAATTCGAATAAATTGATAGGGTATTCTTCGTTTTTTGTCGATGATTTCGAAATTGAAGACAGCCCCTCTATTTTTTTTTCCTATTCGCACAAACTATCTCATTTCACGTTTATTGCCATCCATTCGATATTATTGATTTGGCAGCGATAGCTTTTGATTTGTGAGATGAGCAATGTCTTTTTGATCTTTTTGAGGTGACAAACAACAAAGGCACAACATACCATTGCCATGGCTGAATGACATTCAAGTACCAAGGTCGGCTCGCTCGCTCGCTTGCTCGCTGACCAAGTCAAGTGGAACCAATCATGGTCATTTATTTTTGCTTTAATACAAACTACAAAGGAAATGTTGCGTGGGCAAAACCTTGATACTGAATTTATTTGCACTTTTAATGCGACCGAACACTATCAAAATGTGTGTTTATTCTTATTCTTGATTCTCGTTTTGTAATCGCCAACCGACGATTTTCCGCTCGCTTTATTCTTAATTATGTATCATTCTCGCCCATGAGATAGGTGAATCTTTCCCTAAATTCATTCCGTTTTTTTCTGCGTCTGTCATTTGGGGAGAAGCATGTATTTTGCAATGAAATTATGCAGATGCATCAATGATTTGATTAAATCGATTGGAAATTGTATGCCATTTATTGCTGATGATGATTTTTCTCTCTCTCTCTCTGGAATTTCTTCTTCTTTACCTTTTATTTCCACCGAAAACTTTCCACATTAAATATGGATGTATGCGGCATTGAGTTAAAACTGTGTGTGAATGTGAAATCACAGTTTTGATGAATTTCCGTTGAATTGTCAAATCGTTGGATTCATTTTGAAGCATTCTACATGCTCATAGCTCGAAAAAAAATGACAATCAATGGAAGCTCACATCAGCATTCCTCTTCTCACATTTGATCGATGCACACATGTCGGAATTCATAATTTATGTATTGATTCTTTTAACAGGCATAAATCTTTTCGTTGTCATATACGATCCTCATTTACTATTATATTACACTCAATATATATGCTGAATTCATGGAAACTTCCCACATTTTTGCATGAATGGAATTTTCAAAGTTTTATTGTTTTCTCTTCTACTTTTTTTTCTTCTTTTTATCTCTTCTCAATTTGTCTTCTCAATCTCTCTCACATATTTAATCTATCTCTTTTCAAGGATTCGCACACAAAGATTGTAGCCCAGATGGTAGTTGGTTTCGACATCCTGATACAAATAAAACATGGTCCAATTACACAACCTGCATAAATTTGGACGATTTCGAGGTAAACAATGCACACAATTTTGATATGTAAACAGGCGAATGAAAATGCACGCCATTCCATAAATTATTTATACGCGTTTTTTCATCGCAAAAACCCAAAGCTCGCATGATGAATTTTATACAGTATTCTTTTAAGCGATTTAATATTCCACCGAAAACGTGATGATGAAATTTTAAATTGTATGATTTTTTTTTGGATAAGAATAATAATAATTGATTGATTATTTGTTTTCTCTCTTCCATTTCTTTCTCCCTTTTTCTCGACTTTTCTTCTCTACAGTGGCGGCGACAAGTAAATTTAATTTATGAATTCGGATATTCAATATCATTATTAGCCATACTACTTTCGTTAGCACTTCTCGGTTATTTTCGGTAAGTATTTATTCGGGCATGACAAAAAAAAACTATTACACTATTATTCAGATTGTTGCAAAGTCAACACATACGGATATTTCAAGAAGAATTTTAGTTTAAGTAAAAAAAAAAAACGGTTCAATGAATAACTCAAACAAATTGATGCGCGGTTTGTTACCGGGAAAAATGATGATGACGATGATGAACCAACGGATGAGCTCGCTCACTTTTGTGTGTTCAATGACAAGAACTTGTGTGTATGAAATATATCGAAAAATTCCCTCATCAAATCATCTTTGTTTGTTTAACAACTGACTTTCTGCGAAATGAGTGTAAAATCCTTTCCGTCTGATGTTGATTTTCACAAGTGAAGTGAGTCATATTGCATAGATTGTCTTCCCAAATAAAAAGCAACCAAAAAAGAATTTCGATTTGCAGCAGATGAAAGGAAAGCAACCGACGAATGATGATTTTGCAAAGAAAAAAAATGTAATATCGATCGAACTGAAAGCAAATACACAAGATATCAATTATCCTATTTATTGACCTAACAATAGAGCTTCGACTAGACAGTCTTCATGTTTGTTTGCCTAATTTTTGAAATTGGGTCTCGACACGAATTTTCAATTTTGAACCAACACGTCACATCTGTTTCGGCTGTTTCATCATACTTTTTGTATTTCCATTAAGCAATAATCGAACGAAAAGGACGATTTTTTTAAAAAATAATTTCTAATACGTGAATGATTTCAATGAAATGATCGTGGGTATTCTCTCTTTTTGGATTAAATATACATATTTGAATTGGAACACACAAAGTAGATATCTGCGTAAAAAAATATTATATTATGATAAAGTTATTCGGAGACTTGGTTCCATAATTTTTGTCACTTTTCATGTTTTCAGCGACATTAGAGACACACACTCCCTCTCTTTCTCCGGCTGAATGTGCATTTCAAATGCAATATATTCCATTAGAAATTCATCATGTCCGACCACAACCTTTCCGAAACTAGGAACGCGAATCTGGTCAGGTGGTGCGTACATTAAACAGCCGCCATCCCCAACGGTGCGATATGCATACTGATAGTGACAGTCTGTGTATATGAAAAGCGGCTGGCTTTAATGGAAACAAAAAAAGAGAGCGGAATTAAAGGGAAATTCAACGTGAATGGAGTATCAGACAAAGGACATGATAAGAAAAATTACGACAAACACTCAAGTTTGTTGTGAGATTAAAAAACACACACACACACACACACACACACACACACACACAATAGAGGAACTTTATATTAAGAAAATTCGGAATTAAAAGCGAAGAAAAAAAGTTTTGGTTTTTTGTCTCTTTCTCTCTATCTTTCCCTCTGTGTGTGCGGTGTGGACTCCGTTGTTCCATACGAAAATCGGTTCTGCCATTGTTCCGTGTAAGTTTAACGAAGACGAGGAAGAGAGCGAAAAAGGGATATGAAGGAATCGCGTACTAAATATTAGTGCCAGTGCGGTGTTTCACTCTCTCTCTCTCTCTCTCTCTGTGTGTGTATGTGTGTGTATTTCTCGCGACAATGCATTTCGTCTAGTTTAATGCAAAGGGATATTGTAACTTTTTTGACCAGAAAAAACGCCATCTTACGTCGTGTCCGTAAATTATTTTACTGTACATTTAGATGGTGGAGCTTGAACAAAAGTTCGATACTATGCATAAACTTGGAAAGAGCTTGATAAACTTGATGAAATACATATATTTTATGGTCGTTGCAATACCCCTATGGTTTAATGAATTTCAATTCAATTCGACAAGGCCATTTGACTTGAACTCATAAATGAAATGAAGAGAAACAGATGGAATTTTTTTTCCAACGACCATGTGCATGTGTTTATCACCGGCCCAACGAGTTCCTATAAAGTTTTGTCGTAAAAGAAAATGTGGAAAAATGATAAAAGATTTATGAGACATGAGACTATGGAATGTTCATAGCGTCGTTCCATCGTTGCACGCAGCCAATGCGAGTATACTCACATTTTGCTCTATGCAGAGCAAAAGACAGAAATATTGAAATGGCACGTAAGGCTGACAATGGCCGAGTACTGCTGTTCCTATCTTGTTGCTCCGTCGTTGTCTTGTCTATTATTTGATGTGCACAAACACAAAGGCCCACTTTTCGCAACGTACAAAAATCGTTTTTGCAACTAAATGAATGGACTTTGTTCAACAAGTGCATTCATTCGATGAAGCCGAAACGCACACACACACACACACGAAAACAAATGGATCAAATCAACGTGTGCACGAAACTAACGGTGTCGATGCCATTCGGTTGTCATGACATTTTACGACTACAAAAGCGATGCGTGACATTTTGTCGTATCGTTGCTTTGTTTGAACAAGATCAAGAACTTGACCTTGCATAGATTTCCTTTCTGTCCTTTTATCTGTCTCGATCACATAAAAGGAACTTTTTCGTTTCTCCCTCTCTCTCTCTCGGTGTGTGTGTGTGTGTGTGTTTGCAGCCAATTACATAATTGCGTGTATCGAGTTCAAAATCGTGCTCTAATGGGAAAGCGCTATATGTAGTGAAATACGCGCGCGGGAACCAACCCCTGTGTTTTGTGTGTGTGTTTTTTTCTCGTCATCGATCAATCAATCAAGGATGCTTTCACTCATGTTTTTGAACAAAACTTCGTTATTATTCATTCGATGGCGTAACATAACCAAATATCCAATATCGCACAATATTCCCTTTTTCACGACGATATCTCTTCGAATCGTCGAAAACATAGTTACTAAGAAATAAATAATTCTATGGGCATTCAGTTTTTTCTCTTTCTTCTTCTCTCTCTCTCTTGCTACCCTCTCTCATTTCGAATGCCCATACTTTGTTCTTGGACATACGCGTATACATAAATACACAAAAAAGCTCGGCATTTTTCCTCTACATTCGGAGAAAAACATTGATAATTTATCGATTCAATGACAATCAATAGGCTACACCACATTGATGACCAAAAAACTGAATCAAACACACGTAAAATGCTCCCAACGGAAATTTATCGATTCATTAATTTTCCGGTTACAATTTTATATTTGTCAAATACAAACATTTATCAAATGATAAATGGGGAGTGAGTCTTTTGATTTTCTTTCTTTCTTTCTTTTGTGTGTGTGTGTGTTTGATCACAACGAGATGGGTGAGTGTTGCATGCCAAACAGATGATGGCATAGCCAAAACACGTTGCACGATATTGCTAATTGAATGTTAGGGTATGGTGTGTGTGTATGTACACCTTACTGACAGTTTCAGTAATTGGATTCTTTGTGCGAACGAAGAAAGTTGATATAATTCACGGGCAGCGAATTTTATTTAGACGATTTTAGTAAGAAAAACGAGGAGCTTGCAAGGAGATGTCATGCCATGCCACGTTTTCGAGCTGTAGAATGCAGTTGATGTTGTTTGCTTTTGCATATTGCACAAGACTTGATGTGCACCTCAATGATTACGTGATTTATGTTTACGGTGTAACTTGAACCCGTCGCGTTGTTTTTTCTTCTCTCTGTTGCATAACATTTCACTCTACACTGATAGTCTAAAAAAAGCTTATGATAAATAATTATAACCATTTCTGTTCTATTTTGCAGTGCAAACATTTTATTTCATTTTTTTATTGTTTTTTTTGTTGCATTTGCATATTTTAATTTTCCATGAATCTGTTTTCGACGCGCTTCAGATGCACGGTGTTCAAATAATAACAAACAGTTGCTCATCAAGTATTCTGCTGTGTCGCGAGTTGTGCGAAAATTGAGCTTTGTACAGTGAAACTACCGGATTTTCGGGGGCATAAAGCCATAAAACATTGACTTTCGACCGAAATTTGGAATGATTCAGTGTATCCACGATACAAGCACAACAAAGTAAAGCTGCTAATAATGTGGCTCCATGGTCTAATGCTCCAAAACAACAACATTGTAGCTACTATTTCGCATCGTGACAAACAAAAAGTGGTTGTCGCGTCTTTGGCCCCAATAGCAGAAGATCAACTTTTTTTTCTGAAAGCGTGACAACAAAGGCAACTACACACAGCGTAGAGAGAGAGAGAGAGGAAGCACTCTCGCTCTTGGTTTCACCATGCTATTTACTAGTGAATGAACTCATGCTGATGGTGTTTGTGTGCTGTCGATGTGTACACATCGCCTGAAAGTGCGCTGCTTGAGATTTATGCGGTTTTCACTTCACACATGCAATAAACGAATGAACGAACAGAAAAAGCACGTATCACATTGCCTGCCTAACCTAAAGTTATGTAGTAAAAAGGAAATTTGATTAAATCGTTCGACTTCCGAAAGTGAATCCATATTTTAACTAAGTAAGTGATGTGAAGCAGGCATATAAAAAGTCGCCTATCGCACGCCAAATTCATAGCATTTAGATGTTTTCCGCTTGTTTATTTATAATCCATGGCTTGCTGAATTTTTTATTTACACACACACACACACATATATATATATATATACAGTTACTCACAAAATTGTTCGTACACCTTGCTTTTCCGAACAAAATGCCATTTTTTCATTAATTTTCGTGACAAATGAATTGTATAAGCACATGATTGTAAAAGACTAACTCTGTTAGCAGATATTCATGTATATATTTGACATAAATATTGAACACATAAAAAAATTGGGACCAAATATGTGGAAGTGTCGCTTTTTGGGTCTCACAAAATTGTTCGTACACTGAAGTTTATGGGCATTTTTTCAGTAGATATCCAATACATTTACAGTGAACCGAATTTGGAATCATTTTTGTGATCCTCTCCCATCAATTTGACACATTGGTTATAGCAAAAATATCACTCTCTAATCCAGATGGCGCCACCAAAATAGTGAAATGTCGAAAATGGTCCATTTTGCTAGTTACCACCCCAAAATATAGCATTCACATTATTTTTTACCACCCAAATCTGCTTGAACGCATTGAATACCTTAAGATCTTCGACATTTAGTATGACTTTTCCCATTT